AGATTACATGTACAAAATACACATAACACACTCAAATGAATGCACTGGTGAAACCTGAATAAGTTTAGTGGATTGCATCGATGTGAACTGTCTAGTTGTGGTCCTATGCTGTAGTATGCAAGATGTTAGCATTAGAAGGATAAGCATCCAGGATCTCTGAATTGCTCTATATTGTTTCTTAAAACATTAATACGAATTACCATTATCTCAAAATTGAAAAATTTTAAATGGACACCTAATCCTATTATAAAACATAGAAAAGGGGTTTATGGTTTATTTTTTCAAGTTCTGTGGATGGGGCCCCTGAATGGCGACAAGACATTATGAACAAATACTAGTCAAATATTAATGAAAAAAAAATTCCTATTTTATAACAATATTTGTATATTTTTATTATTTAAAAGCAAATAAAATTCATATTATAGCATAATATCTATATATATAAAAGGCTAAGTGTCTGTCCTTCCCTCCAACTGGTAGCTATGATGTGCACTGACCACCAGGGGGCAGACACTCAATCCAAGAGCTGCCATGATGCGCACTGGCCATTTATAAAGAAACAGCACTGCAGACCTGGCACTGACAAAGCAACACTTGGCTTCCCCCAAGTGGGACACAAGCCCTACCACCATCCTGGAGTGACACCTCACCAAATTGCAGCCAATGTTGCCAGGACCCCATGGCGCAAAATGTGCCTCACACTCAGCCCAACCTGGGAATGGTGGCTGTGGGCGCTGGGTAATGATATCATGTATTAACGCCTGGCTTCCTCTACCTAGCTACAGGTCATCCATATATATAAAAAGCCAGGGGCATCATGACTGAAACAACCAGACGGATGACCGAACAAGCAAGCTGCATGGGGCAACCAGGCTGGAAGGCGGGCAATTAGGGGTGAGCAGGCTGCTGGGGACAGGCAGTTGGGGCAATCAGGCTGGCAGTCAGAGGCAGTTGGGGTGATCAAGCTGGCACAGGAGACAATTAGGGGCAACCAGGCCAGCAGGGGGGCAGTTGGGGGTGACCAGGACAGAAGGGAGCAGTAAGGGGTGACTAGGCCAATGGGGTTGGGCAGTTAGGATTGATCATGCCAGCAGGGAGGGAAGTGAGGGAAGACCAAACAATTGAACAGCAGGCTGTGTGGGGCAAGCAAGCCAGTGGTGTGGGGCAGTTAGGGATGATCAGGCTGGCAGTGGGGAGAGTTGGGGGTGACCAGGCCAGCAGGAGGGGGCAGTTTGGGGCTACCAGGCTGGCAGGTAGGGGCAGTTAGGGGAGACCAGGCTGGTGGGGGTGGGCAGT